CGTTTTTTCTTTTTCGTTTCTCTGCAGGGTTTGTTTCCTTGACAGAATGTAATATTCATAGTGGTACTCCTGTGACCGCACGGGGTCTAGCAGGTGGAGAGTCGAGGGTATCAGCCCCGAAATCAGCCTTTGAAAAGCGCCTTGACTGTTGGCTCTGAGATCTTGTCAGAGCAGATCCAGGCGAAGTGACTTCAGGTCCGTAGTAAAAATGAATCGTGCTCCGGAGGCTGCCTGGGCGGCGAAGCAGAGCAAGGAAATGGCTCTCAAAGGCGAGCCGCGGGGCCAAGCCTGCAGGGTTTCGGGGTGGGGTGGGGAAGCGCACTGTGCAAGATCCCCAGACTCACCCGGCTCTCTCTTCACACACCACAGGGCCTCCCAAGACCCGGTTTTGCACCTCTCTCTCTGCTTCAGGTTTCAGTGACACCCGTGGAATGGAATCACCCATTAGTAGCGCTGAAAGTTACCTTAGAAATCGAATCCATGCTCTTTTTTAGAGACAAGGAATACTGAGGTCTTAAGAGAGTAGGAATGATTTGCCCAAGCTGGCGGGCTGATTGGAGGCGAAATTGGGTGCAGAACCCCCAATTCTATCGGGTTCCTCTTCTCCCTCACCTGGCGACGGCTGCCCCCTGTGGCCGGTTCGCGTGTGTTCCTGTTACCTGGGTGTCAGGCTGTTTCCAAGAGCGAGGTGCCCAATGGCGCCATCGGTTCGAACTGATAACGTGATCACCGGCTCCGGGGGAAACCTCCAACGTTAAATTGAGTTGAATCTGCCAGCGGCCGTTTGGCTGACGCTGGCCTTCCTGGTGTCCCTGATGCTTCATCGGGCCGGATGGGGGGCACTTCATTTGGGGGCTTTCCGAGGAGTTCCCTCCTGTGACTCTTTTAAATGCGGCTGACCTACAGTTCCAGATATTACAATGTTTTGTTTTGTTTTTGCTTTATGATGTTTGTATCTTATGAGAGGGTAACTGCAGTTATCATTAACCAGAAAGTGTCCAATGCCTCCTGTTTACAATGTGGAAGAGAACTAGGCTCTTGGTTAAAAGGATAGGCACTCAGTGGGGGTGGGAAAAATTACAGAGTACAAAATAAACTTTTGGTAGACTTTCTTTTTATAGCCATATTTTAACATTGGATCACATTTTACCTGTCACCATCTATCCTGTCCAGAATGTTATTATTTTGTTGCCCAAAATAATAGGTTTACATGAGAATAACCCTCAATTCAGGATTTTGGGTGAGCACTTTGATTTGACTTGTAGGGGGTCCGTAATATGCACGTGGGAATTGGCCTGGGAAGCTGGAATCTGATGTGAACACACATTTCTTTTTTTAAAATAACAGCTCACATTGTAGCACTGCTTTACCTCGTTGTTTCCGGTTCCAGCTTGGTGAAGTTTTCAATGATACACTTTAGCGAAGTTGCACAGTTAGTAGAATTTTCCTCGTTGAGTACATTTTAAAAGTAAAATTAGAGTTAAAAACTGTCATAGAAGTGGCTCTTATCATTTCAAGTAGATGATTAATAACCCTTAAATAGAGTTCCTTCAGAAGTCATCAAAACCTTTTGATTAAGTAGGAGAAAGAAAAGTCTCTTAAAAACAGCCCTGTGTTCTCTTCAAACCCATGGATTTCTTCTGGGACAATCCTTCCGGTTTGAATTAGGTCCATTTGGGGATATTTCAAGCACCAGTCAGCGAGAAGCAGGAGAACTGGAAGAGTAAGCAAGATGATGACCAGCAAATGGCCTACTCACTTAACTGTGTTTCTTTGGAAACTGAGTATCGTAAGGAGAGCCGGAGCTTGGAGCTATCAGAGCCCGAGTTTTGAACTTTGGGGTATTAATGTTATTTACAAAACAGTTTTGCCACTGAATGGTCTGATCCTTTTAAAATCCATCCTCTTTGATTCCCCCTAATCCTCTAATCTTTAAAGGATGATTACAATGATATTACTGCATGGATTACAACTTGAAAAAATTTTTTTCTTGGAATTAATCACCAACCTCCCCTTGAGATAACGTACTTGTTTATTGTGTTTGAGAAATATTTAAACAGCGTGACATAAGCCAAAGATTTGGAGTGTGTTCTTATAGAAAGGACCCGGGTCCTTGTTCCTTTTATTGCCTGCAACATTTCAGTTTTAAACTGAAACCTCCATTGGCAGGCAGGTTGCCAAATGTGTAACCTGTCACTGGTCTAATAGTAACAACATGTTTAAACATGCAGGGTAACAAGACAGTGCCAGGCCCTTGGCCGTATCTGTGGAGACCAATAACAGCAGAACCAGTTCCCAAACCCAGAGCCATAGAATGCAGAGTAAAATCTTGTTGTGCAAGTTTTTAGAGTTTGATCTGCGAAACCTTTGAAAAGAGTGTTGGGGAGTGTTTGCGTGTGGGTTGGGTAATCCAGGAGTCCCAGTCCTCCTGTTTCAGCTGACGTTTTGCCATCTGTGTATCTGGCAGCATATACAGCAGTGACGAGGATGAAGAAGACATTGAGATGTGTGATCATGACTATGACGGGCTGCTTCCCAAGTCTGGAAAGCGTCATTTGGGGAAAACGAGGTGGACCAGGGAAGAGGTAACTGATCACTCTATCAAAGGCTGGGGGAAACCTATCTAGTGGGGCAAGTAGGAGAAACCAAAATTCAGCCAAACCACTGTTGTCACACTCACCAGCAGGCTCTTTGTGATCAGATCCCTGCCTGCCTGGGCAACTCCACCTCCCCCCACTGGGTTGTCCTAACCAGCTGCAGTTCAAGGATCCAAGGATCGCCTGGCTTCTTTGCTTGAGGCTACATCTGTGTTTCCCTCTGCCTGTGGCATTGGCCCACTGCCTGTTAGGACTGCTTCATCACCCAGTTCACGCTCTATCAGCTCTTCTGGGAAGCCATCCTTAGCTACCCCAAGCCAGGCGGATGTCTGCACCTGTGCTCCCCGGGGGGGATAATTGCATTCGTATCCCCTCCCCCCACCACCCCCCCGCACCCCCCCTCCCAGGAGACTGCAAGCCTGCGGAGGGCAGGGTTATAGCCATCTGCTCATTTTTGTATTTTTTTCCAACCAGAAATGCCTGACATAAAGTGCAACATGAATAACTGTTCCCAGAACAAATACATGGCTGTTTCCAAAAACAAAACAAAATGAGAGAAAGCAAGCCAGCCTCTCACCCCAAACCTCGTAGAACCCATCCTGTTATAATGTATTCACTTAATAGTCTAGGTATAGACCAGCGGTTCTCAACCTGTGGGTTGCAACCCCTTTGGGGGTTAAATGGCCCTTTTACAGGGGTCACCCGATTCATAGCAAAATGACAGTTTGAAGTAGCAACAAAAATAATTGTATGGCTGGGGAATCAACACAACATGAGGCACTGTATGAAAGGGTCACAGCACGAGGAAGGTTGAGAAGCACTGGTCTAGACTATCTTACAGAGCCATATACATGTGTGCAGGGGTGCCTTGACGGGGCAGTGGTAAGCGCCTGGTTGCTCCAGAGATAAGACATGGCAGTCCGCTTCCATCAGAATCTCAGCCTGGGAAGCCCTGTAAGGAAGTTTGGCTCTGTCCTGCTGCGGGTCAGAATGAGTTGGTATAGACTCCATGGTAACGGGACAATCCTAAAGCATTCCGTAACAGATGGGGTTGTGTCTGTTTCTTTTTCTGCTATTAAGTATATTCAAACTTGATAGGAATGGGAAAATGCTTAGGTAGCAAAATGACTCATGTGTGTGTGTGTGTGTGTGGGGGGTTCCTTTTCTTTGAAGTTCTCCAAACCTTTTGCCACTCACTTTCACAGATTTGTGTTCGAATGAATGGCATGAATTTTTCTTCCATTTCATTCCACTTAAACCAGAGCTCTTTTTGGAAGGATTTCCCATGAGACCCATAGGAAAAGCCAATAGGAAGGGTGCTTGGATGATCCTTAAAGATGTAGAATTCTTTCCTTAACATTGGCTCCTGGTTCCCATGTCTATGTTGTACCAGTGATCCACACTGTGCATGAATGTCATTGTCTTGGCAGAAGCTTAAGGCACAATTAGAAAGACACTTAAGAAGGAATGACCAGTAGCAGTCTTTACCTTGAAAGAACAGATCGCCCACTGCAGTTTAGTACCTCATGTGCAAGGGACCTGGTGATCACTTGGACTGCTGACCACAAGGTCAGCGGTCTGAAACCAGCTAGCCGCTCTATGAGAAAAAGATGAGACCTTTTTCTCCCATAAAGAGGGACAGCCTCAGAGACCCACAGGGGCAGCTCTGCCCTGGCCTAGCCAGTTGTAATGAGTCAGAATGGATTCAATGGCAGTGAGTTTGGTTTGGGTTTTTTGGTGGCCTACTGGGTTACAACTTGGGCAGCTAACCACAAGCAACGTCAACAGTTTGAAGCCCCCAGCTACTCTGAGGGAGAAAGATGAGGTTCTCTGCTCCCATGAAGAGTAAAGCCTTGGAAACCCGGCTCAGCCCTTCTGCTCTCTCCTGCAGGGCTGCCCTGAGTTTGTTTCACTTGCTGGCAGTGAGTTTGAGTGGAGTGAATGTTCTAGAACCGTGGACCTCACCTCCTTTGGCGATTAAAAAAGCTGAGCCATCCTCTTACAGCAGACATGCCTTTCAAATTTAGTTAAAAAGTGATCTTCCCTTTTTTGGTATGAAAGAGACTGAACTAGCTGAAAACACTTGATATTTTCCTCAAGGGCTTCTTGATTGTGATGGTTGAATGTCTACTAAGTCTAACCCTGGAGTCCATTATGTCTTTCTTTCACAAAGTAGACCTTTCAACAGTCACTGTCTATGAAGTCCTTTCTATGGGCACCAGCCTGGTGGCTATCAGCTGTCCCATGTTATAGATGACAATACTGAGATGCGGGGTGATAATGCCAAGGACCCAACTGGATACAGTTTATCAGTAGCTGAGTCCAAATTCAAAATCTGGCTCCTGTGACCCAAACTAAATCTATGTTCTAAGCTAGACTATCGCATTAATACCTGTTGCGCCTGGATAGTTTTGAGAGTCCCCACCCCTGGGTTGGATTATTGGATCGGCTCCTAACTTTATTCCAACTTGAATGGGGCTGCATAGTAAGTGACTGATATCCTAGAAATACCTTTAAATGTCTTAGGATGAAAAACTGAAAAAGCTCGTGGAACAGAATGGAACGGATGACTGGAAAATTATTGCCAATTATCTCCCGGTAAGTTAGCGGTCTTCTCAATTTACATTTTTTTTTGCAAAAAGAAAGTGTTTCCCACATATTTTAATTTATTTCAAAGATAATTTAAGATATGACTTAATTAACTGTTCATTTAATTAAATATCGTTTAGGGGGAACTATTAGGATATTGCTTTTTTGTTCATATGTAAATAGGAAGGGGAACAATGTCCCATCTACAACTTGCATTTTACATAGTCATGCAGGTAATTTGGTCTTGAACTTTATTTTTGTTTAAGATTTTTTTTGTTTTACATTTAACCAATATAAATGATATTTTTGGTTTGTTACCCGATAAGTAATTAAACTCAATATATTTCTCCAAAATCAACTTCTTCTGAATTCTCTATTTATGTCCACAGGCATACTTTGAGCACCCAGGTTTAGGATTTCAGAGTCTTTTGTAGCTATATCCCACTTCTCATCCTCTACATCCAAGTATTTACTAAATATTTAAATTGTGAGTCTGCAATTCCCTTGTCGTTGGTCCCTTTCTATCTATTCTTATCACGACTTCCGTAGGTTAGGCTCTCTCTCCCTCTGACAATGTACCTCTATGCCGGGTGGCTATTTGCATTACTGAGTGTGTACCAAAGGATCTTTGGCAGCATAGTGGGGTAAGTGTTGAGTTGGCGACCAAAAGGTCGCTGGCTCAAACCCACCAGCTGCTCGGTGGGAGAAAGACAAGGCCATGGGCTCCCATGGAGATTGCAGCCCTGAAAACCCAAAGGGAGCAATGATTCTACTCTGTCCCAGAGGCCACTATGAGCTGCAGGGGACCCATGGCAGTAGGTAATGCACCCTGTTCAGCACTGTCACTGTTACCCGATCAAAATGAGGCTCCACACCAGGTGGTTTCATCCATCCATGTGCGTGTATGTGTGTGCGTGTGCGCGCGTGTGTGTCTGTCTGTCTGTGTTTTCACAAAGTAAATGGAACACTGCTGTTTTGAGTTGGGCTGTGGACTGCAAGGTCAGCAATTCAAAACCACCAGCCACCTCTAGGCAGAAAGATGAGGCTTTCTACTGCTGGGGAGAGTTACACTGAAACCGCAGGGGCAGTTCTACCCTGTCTTACAGGGTTGCCATGAGTTGGAATCGACTGATGACAGTGAGTTCATGTTGTTAGAGTAGCTGAGCTTGTCAAATCTTCTACTGCTTTAGCTACAATACTGTTGATTCGTTAAGCTGTGTGATTAACTGTTGTGGAGCATGAAGTCATAATGAAAGGAAAATGAAGACAAGAAAGAAAGCTTCTGTCCAGTTACTAATGTCATGATGCTCCTCCCTCCCTGCCACAGGGTCGATTTTGACTCATAGTGACCCTATAGGGCAGGGTTGAACTGCCCCTGTGGGTTTCTGAGACTGTTACTCTTCACGGGAATAGAGAGCCTCCTCTTTCTCCCGTGGGGTAGCTGGTGGTTTTGAACTGCTGACATGGTGGCTAGCAGCTCAACGCATAAGGCGCTACCCCACCAGGGCTCCTCGATCATGTAAGGAATGGTGCTGTCATGCCATGCAGGAAGATTTCACAGGACAATTTGGTTGTTCTTATGCATGTGGGCTAAGAAATATTACATGTAAACAGTCCACAGGTATAGCTTTTCAATGATGAAAATGGCTGATAACCATCCCTAAGGATCTGGTACGGGAGGAGGGCCTCGGAGCAGGGTGAGACCAGGAGCTGCCACACTGGGCAAGAGCCAGCCTGGTGGTGCTGACTGACAAGCTCCCCTGCTTGCAGCTTTCCACGCTCCAGTTCATCCCCCACCCTCATGGCAGGTCGAGCTTCCTAAAAGGCAACCCGGTCCTTGGTCTTTTCAAAAGTGACAGCGACAACTTCAGTGTCTCCCAAGTTAGTGTCAATGGCCTCAACCTGCCTGGGACTCTCGGGCCCTCCTTGGAGGCCCCCCACTCAGGTCCAGTTCTGTTTCCTACTTCCTCTGTTAGCTGCGCTGGTTAAATTCATTTCTGCTTTCTCTCCTATGGGTTTTGGTTCCTGGGGATCCCGCCCCTAGAAGCTTCTCCCTCTCCTTCTCGAGGAGTTAAAATTCTGCGCATCCTTTCAGTTCCATCTCCAGAGCGTTTCCTGATTCCCCCCCGCCTCCCTCCAATGCCGTTTTACCCTGAGCTCTTGCTGGGTGCCAATCCAAGTCTGCCTCCTGTTTCAGTTAGTCAGGGGTAGCCTTTCTTTCCATTTTGAGGGAGAAAGGCTGAGCTTTCTACTCAGTCCCCACAGAAACCCACAGCGAGAGTTCAGCCCTGGCACTGAGGTCCCTGAGTCGGCATGACTCGACGACAGGGGGTTTGGTGGTTTGGGTTTTATTCGGTTGTATTCATCC